GGCCTCATACTCGGCTACAGTCATACTGTCTTGCCTCAGTTCCATGAATTCTGCCACCTTCCTATCCCGGATACACTGCGGGAAATACTTGTCATAGAAAATTTCTAGAAATTTTGCCCAATCAGCATCTTTGTAATTCTCACGCATTAACATCCACCATCTTCTTGCTTCGTCTTCTAGCATAAAGGTGGCTAAAAGCACTTTCTGTGTCTCTGAACACAGGAACACTTCAAACAGTTTTTCGTTGCCGAGGACCCAAGCTTCAGCTTTCAAAGGATCTAATCCACCATGGAACTGTGGTGGTTTTATTTTCTTAAACTCTTTGGTGAGAGCTATGATTCGGTCATCATTCTGATTATCTGGCACATGAGGTGCCGAAGGTGGAAGTGGAGGATGTGGCTGCTACCACTGTTGTTACCATTCCTGTTGTTGCCTTAATGTCTCTACCATTTCCTGAATCAGTCTTTCCATTCTATCCAGTCTGGCAGTAGAAGATTCCTCTATCTCATCACCTCTTGTTCTCACCATCTGATTAAACTTGCATTATACTTTATACAAAAGATACACATGTATGCATATACTAAAGAGCATACATAATCAAATAATTTGAAATGCAAGCAGTTCACAAACTTATAAAACATAGTTGTTCACATTTAATAGTTAAGCGTATTCTTGATACTTTCAGATTCATATTTATCACATGAATGCATCCTAAATCTTTTCTAAACGCTTATTGCTCTTTTGGACAAGTGTGTGAGTTATTAACTCGTGCTCTGATACCACTCTGTCACGACCCGAACCCGCCCCTATGGGTTAAGGCCATAACCGGCCAATAATCACGAGATTACATACGGCCTCAAACCAAATAAAACAAAACTCATCAGATTAAAAGGGCCAAACGAAAGCAAATTTAAAACTTTGTCCATAGAGCTGTGCTTATATGCACACCATAACATTCCAAACATTTATATGTTAATAACTCACATCAAAATATGTACTAACACAGAACACTGTACATACAGGATCATACAAGTTTAAGTCAGTCGAACCCAAGACTTATATACAAAAGTAATCCAATGCTTTCGCCAACATAACAAAACTATGAACAAAGGACAAAGGCGAAGACAGTCTCGCGCGTGAGACGTTTGGGCTGACTCCTCAAAACTTTGACTGTTTCTCACAATTTCACCGAGGCTGGTTCTGGACGTCCCTTGGCTCACCTGCATGTACATGAATGAGTGTGAGCGAAAGCCCAGTGAATAATATCAAATAAGGAAGATACATAAGCAACTTTGAAACAGTTACGGCAGACGGCCTTTCGCCCAATCACTTGTATCAATCGGCCTTCGGCCCAATCATCTATGTCAATCGGCCTTCGGCCTAATCATTTATGTCAATCGGCCTTCGGCCCAATCATTCATGTCAATCGGCCTTTGGCCCAATCATTTATGTCAATCGTTGTCCACCATTCAAATTAACGAACTTACAAAACTTACATAGAAGTAAACAATTGGACAACAACATATTTCAAATATCTTGTTAAGATATTACCCACAGTGATCGGCCTGTGGATTTGCCCTGGTGCTTGACCCTACACATCATATAGCACATATGGGTCACAAACGATTCAATCCGTCCTTTAATTCACATATTCCTCTTTAGGCTTCATTCTTATCTCTTTAACTCAATTACAATGCTTAATGCATGCCCAAGAGTGCTTGCAAGTGAAAGAAAATGGAAAACGAAACACATAATACGCTTTCAAAATTTCAAAAAATAGGGTCCCCGCTCGAGCGTGGGATTCCCCGCTCGAGCGGACCCATTAGGTTTGCAAAAGTGCTGGTTGTATCATTTTTACGCTCGAGTGTGAACTCGAACGCTCGAGCAGAAGTTCATCCTACATAGCTCCCCGCTCGAGCGTGAACTTCCCCGCTCGAGTGGACACCATGCCTGCAAGAAAATACTGGGAGCTCGAAATCCCCGCTCGAGCGGACATCAAAAATTATGGGTTTTCCAGAATGGTTCTTGAGCTCGAATTCAACACTCTAACCAACATTTCTTGCATGCCGTGGCTCAAATTTCACATATACATATACTAACATGATACCAACACCAAATTACAACACAATGAAGCTCAATTTCTTGAATTACTTACATGCATGCCTCAAATTAACCCAAACTCATCACCAACACATCAAATTCAAACATGCAAAGCTCATACCTCCATGATCTACTCTTGCATGTGAGAAATATTCATTCATATCAACTTAATTGGTGAAGAGATGATCAAATACATGGATTTCAAACAAGATTCAACATAGATTATACACATTGTGTTCAAATATGGAAATTCATAGTAATTTCCTACATGCATGCATCTATTGACTTTAAATTCAACACATACAACTCAATCTCCTCATAAACAATTTAATTCATGTTCTTAATCATTTTTCAACCTTCAATTCAAAAAATTACTAGTTACAATTCATGCACTCACTTACCTAGAGGCTTAATTCTTCCAATCTATGGCAAAATCTTGAGTTTAATCCTCCAATCTTCACAAAATTGAGCCAAACACCCAACTCTCCTTCTTTCTCTCTCTCTAGCCGACCCCTCTCTCTTTTTCTTGAGTTAGAATCAGCTACGTAGAATAACAAAGAGGATGTTTGAGTACATAGTGCCCCACTAAGTCACATTAATTTAATAATAGGCAATTGAGCACTTTATGATTAATTAAATCAATTTAATCTGATCTGAATCAATTTCCAAATTAAATTTCACCGTAGGCTCTAAAAATTATGCCAATCACAATGGCATAATCAATTTCGGGTTTTGTGGCCGATAAGGCCTTCAATTTAATTTCCAAAGCAGATCATCAAACAGATATTCCTACGGTGAACAGATAGAAATTCAAAACCACATATTTTCACATAATGGCACACACAATCATATCAAACACATAATCATATTCATATTAAGGACCAATTATCATACTACGGGACAGGGATATTACAAAAACACGACCCAAGCGTTAGATACAATAAGTGACATTGCTCGAGCGATCAAACATTGCTCGAGCGTACAATGCCCCCCTCCCAGAAGTTCAGACCTGCAAAAGACCTCTCGAGCACAGGAAATACCGCTCGAGCGAAGATACCATACTTCCAGAAGTTTTATAGACTTGTAAAAAAAATACTAGGAGATCTTAAAGACCACTCAAGAAAACAAGAAGAAAGCTAGACAACAACTCTTTTGGAAAACTAATTCTAACCTGTTTCATACACAACCAACACTCAATTCAACCACCAACAAGATGAAAATGGCATGAACAACAATTAAAGACATAGAATCCTAGACCCAAGAGTAAGAAATGGATCGAGTCTAAATCGAAACCGTTATAGAATACTAAAGACCTGCGGGGCTACTGTAACCACTCTTTATTCCTGAATAGAAATGGGAGTACATTACCATGAATTTCATTATTGAATTACCACGATCAGCCTCAAAGAACGATGCGATATAGGTCATAGTAGATCGATTATTAAAGTCGATACATTTTTTATCCGTCAGAGTCATGTACTCTCTTAACAAATTTGCCACTTTATATATCAAGAAGATCATTAGATTGTGTGATGCCCCAATATTAATATCGGATCGAGAACCTCGTTTCCAGAACAAGCTACAAGCAGTCTTGGGAGCAATACTAAAGTATAGCATCGCGTATCACCCGCAAAACTGATGGACAATCCTAAAGAACGATTCAGACGTTGGAAGACATGTTGTGAGTATGTGTATTAGATCTTAAAGGTAATTGGGATGAGCATTTACTGGTAGTAGAATTCGTCTATAACAACAGTTACCAAGCAAGCATTGAGATGGCACTATATAAAGCACTGTATGAGAGGAAATGTCGATCGCCTTTATGTTAGAAGGAGATTAGAGACAAAGTTATTGGGTCCCAAAATTGTGTATATGACAAGTGATAAAATTCAGCTAATCCAACAGTGAATCTGCACTACCAGAGTAGCCGAAAAAGCTATGTAGATACTCAAAGATGAAATTTGGAATTTTAGGTAAGAGATCATGTTTTCTTAAAAGTTTCACCAACAAGAGGAGTCCTTGGATTTGAGAAATGAGAAGAATTGAATCCACATTACATCGGACCATTTGAGATGCTAGAAATGATTGGCCTTGTGACTTATTATCTTGCATTCCCACTAAATTGTCCAATGTTCATAATGTGTTTCGTGTTTCATGTTTCAATGATTCGACAATACTTTTGAGATACAGAACATGTTATTGATCACGAAGACCTAGAAGTTCAAAAAGATCTCTCTTATGAAGAGCAACCGATACAGATCCTCAACCATCATGATTAGATTATCTGAAACAAGATGACACCTCTTGTTAAAAAAATCTTATGGCAAAATCATCATATTGAAGAAGTTACGTAAGAAACTAAAAATCAAATGTGAGTCAGATAGCCACATCTTGTCAAAAATTAATGTACAACAAGTTTGGGGTCAAATTTCTATTTAGGATAGGAGAAATGTGACACACCAACTATTCAATTAATTTAACACCACGTTAATATTAAATTTTGGAAGCATGTGATTTAAGGAGTTAATTCTTATTAAATTTTGAAGTATTGGAAGTTGAGAATTTCAAGGACTACATTTGTTGTAAAATCACGTATTTTTATAAATAAAAATAGTATATTTTTTCTGAATTTTTTTGTATAGTTATTCGCATTATTTTAAATTTAATAGTTTGTATATTTTTATACTCAAAATTGTTTCAAAAAAATATCTTTAACTTTATAATATTAGTTGATATTATATTATGATATTATTTTATATTATTCTCTGTATTTTTTTGGAATTGAATTACACTAAAACATAACATTTTCTGTACCAAGAAAAACCCAACTTACTCCTTATGCATACTTGTTGTCTAAGTTTGTTTGCTACCCACGCGTTGCTCTGTAAATCCCTCATATGCCCTCTCTCTCTCTCTCTCTCTCTCTCTCTCTCTAGGTACATGTCAACATCTCAAACTCTAAACATTGCAAAGATTAGACTCAACAAGGCTAGAAATTAGGTCAACTTTCTTAGCATCAAAGCTTTCCAACTCTTTGAGAGCCAATACTTTCAACCTCTCTACCACTTCCATCTCTCTCTCCTCTTTTCTCCCCAACCCATTAACCATCATCATCATCCCCTGTATCATCCCCACATGAAGCCCATATTTCCTCAACTTCTCAATCTCCTCCTCACTCCCTCCCCCTAATATGGCCCCACACGCGGCCCCACAAGCGTGCATCTCACCTACCTTCTTCTTGCACACGTGTTCCATCCACGTGTCTTCATCGCGTAATTCCTCACCGTTGGATTGAGTGCCTCGAATCTCCGTGTACCGGCCATCAACCACCCCTAGTGAGCCTATGGCACGTGTGATCTCAATGATCACACGTAAAATCCAATGTCAATAAATAAAAGCTCCAATGTATATTTTTAATTAAATAAATATTTTGGTACCTTTTTATTTTACTCCGATGCATTATTAATTTGACCTCTTGGTACCAGGTTTAGGTCGTGACAAAATATGTTGTGTTTCTTCTTATTAGCACGTCAAACTACATGAGCGGTCATGCTAATGCTCAAGTGCCGATTTGAAGCATCCAGTATCTCAGCCTGAATTCCGAGATACTGAGAGATGTGTTTTATCACTTGAGCGGTAAGTCTTGCGCTCTAGCGAAGTAACAAGTGAAAGTTGTTAGCACCGCCCCTATAGACAAACCACTTGAGCGGTCATTCCTATACTCGAGCGATCCTTGTGACTCTAAATTGTTTATACCTGTCTCAGATGCTCATTTTAGGGTTTAACGTTTCTAGATTTATCTTTGAATATTGAAGAACTATAGTTCTATCTTATAGAGAGTTGATACTTGTTTTCTCTTGATGGATTGTTGATGATTGTCGCATATCATGGATTTGATTGAATAAATGAAAAGGCCTTGATTAAATCTACCTTTCTTAGCGTTTATCCGGTAGAATTTGGACTGAGTTGGAGTATGTGGATTCAAGTTCAACAATGAACAATCCTGGATGAAGAGTGGGTGCTAAAGATGTTCTAGAGTCTCCAAGTGCTTGTGTGGATTCATAAATGGTAAGCTTGGTTAGGTCTTTTGTAATATTCATTCTTTCTTTTTAGTGAATTTGTTCATTCTTCTTGGCTTGTGATTTTTTTTTCTTTTTCTTTTTCTTTTTTTAATCACAATTAGATTCCATGTTATATCTTTGTGTCGCCTTTGTTGATTGCTTAGAGATAATTTAAATCACTTTCGTATTGGCTTGATAATTTAGATTATTGTCTATTTTGGGAATTGCTTTCAATTGTTCTTGATTATTAGATGAGAAATCATGAATCACATTACATAGGGTTTTTTACAAATATTTTGTTATATTTTATTTGACTTTTTTATATAATTTTTTGGTTCAAATCTAAATAGTTATATTTTATTTTTTTATATTTTTATCTCTATTTCTTTGTTGTTCATATCCGAATAGCTATCTTTTTATTTCAAAATTAATTGAATTGTAATTTTTTTATTTAAATATTCTTTTAATATTTTATTTGACAGCATAGATATATAGATAGATATTTAAAAAAAAAAAAAGACAATTATTTCTTTTTAAATTTGATAATTATCTATTTTTTATATCCTATCAGAATGATTTTAGAGATTTGTTAATTTTATTAGTTTTTAAGTGATTTTATCAGTATTTTTTTGTTAAGTTATTTAGAGTAATTAAAAATTAGGAAAATGATTAAAGTGGACTGCAGAGAGTGCCATGTAAGAGAAAGAATGCATAAGAAGTTAGCATTGAGAATTTGGAGAACTCTTATGCTCCACTAGATTTATTTATCTATATATAGTATAGGTAGATTTATGAGGAATTATTTAATAGTGAAGTGGAGAAAAAAAAATTACAAACACATGAAAAATATAAGTGATTTTGTGATGGGGTGTAAATGAAAAGTTATGAGAGTGCAAGTCTCACTTGCACCATTTCATCTTTGGGTAATTTTTTTTTTTTATATAATTTTTTTTTTCCCCTATTACCCTGTTAAGTAATTCCCCCCATAGATTTATGAGTTACTACTACAATCTTATCTCTTTTGCATCAAGCTCCCTCCCCTTTTCCTGTCCTTGCCAGTTGACTCCTCACAGTTAACACACTTTTTGACATTTGATTATGTAAACGTAGGTGGCTTTTAATATTTAGCATTTAAAATTGAAAAAAAATTAATTAAATTAGTTTCATTATCACAAATGATATCATTTAAAAAATTTAAGTGACTCTTAAAATGTATGTTAAAAATTTTTTAAAAAAAATAAGTGTTAAAAAATTTAATTAATTCTGACTAAATACTTATATATATGCTCAACATTTACTATTCTAATTTCACAATCACTACTATCACCACCGCTGCCACCATTCCACAACTACCACCTTCAGCACCATTATCACAATTACCATAGTACTACCATCATTTTACTACCACAATTACCGTTACCATTATCATTACCATTGCCATTTTTGCCGTTGTCATAACCATTATTGGCCACCATTATTGTTGTCATAACTACCACCACAATAACCACCATCATTACACCACTGCTGCTACCGCTTTTTTATCTTTACTACATTGTCCGTCCATCATCACCGCAACCAACCTCTATCTCCACCACCACCAACTCACTATCATAATATAAAATTTAAAAATAACAACTTTCAATTTTAATATTATACATATAAAATAATTTATTTTAATTCAACGCTTAAATTTTTATCAAATAAATTTTTAATTTAAAAAATTTAATATTTAATTTTCAATACTTAATTTTCAATTTTATTAAACACAACCTCATTATCCACAAACTGTTCCAAACTTCCAATGGAGCATGGAAAAAAGAGAGGAAGTTTATTATCTAATGGAGATGCTCCGTGTCTGGATAATAATAAGTAAAGATTTAAATTTCAGGCCCCCTATGTTGCTTCTCTTTTTTCTTGGCACCACTGTTCCTTTTGCTCAATTTTTTTCTGTACTTTTTAATTTTTATTTGGGTAAACTACATCCACCTCTTCTAAAATTAAAAAAAGAAAAAATTAAAAAAAAATACAGTTACCATATTTTTAATATAATATTACACTAGTCTTTCTTCAAGTTTTAATTCACATAATAATAAAGTTATTTTTTATCAATAATTTGTTAATTGTATGGATAGAAAAATAATATTTTTACCTATTTTCGACTAATATATATATTTTGTTTATTTTAATATCTATCACCCATATGCATTAATTCCAATCTCTTTAGTCATACTAAAAATAAATTATTATAATTATATCAAATGTGTAAAATAATTATATTTTTTTTTCAAATCACTAGGGTGGTGAGTGTAATTTACCCTTTCTATTTTTTCTATACTTCTCATTTTACTTTTGGTTGGTATAAGTTTTTATTTTTTTTTTATTTTTTTTTTGGGGTCAAGAGTATCCTTTTTATTTCCATTATTCTCAGGGTTGGGAACTTGGCCGTCATGCCCCATACATTTTGAAAAACATATTTATCGTAATAAAAATATTTTAATTATTATATTGATCTAAATTTTCATTAATGATATATATAAATAATTTTATAAAATAAATAATTTAAATTATCGAAACGAAATTTGTAATGAACCTACAAATCCAAACATGACAGCCAGATATAAGTTTGAATTTGAGGTAAGCAAAACCGTATTCTTAATTTATACTGTTCTTGGTTGTCGTAGGCCCATAGTATAACTAAATTGAATTGAAAGCACAATAAAGAATTAAGCCCATTGTAATGTGGACTAAAATTTATTTTTGGCCCAGTATCCTCCTAGGAAAGCACAGCTTAACACCTTTTGGACCAATAGGTTGCATTGCATTTCATTATGTCCCAGGGCAGCTTAAGTTGCATTTAGTGTGCTTAGGGCCGTTTGAGAACTTACTTTTTTTAGCTAATTAGTCAAAAAAATTATTAAATTAGTCAAAAAAATCAATAATTCATACCAAAAAATCAAAGATTTTCTTTTCTCTCTACTTTTTGCACATCTTTTCGTAATTAGCCAAAAAGTCATCCCAAACATACAAATTTTTTTTACCTACCTTTTTAACCAAATAGCTAAAAAGTTATTAAATTAGCCTGTTCCCAAACGAGGCCTTAGTTTGAATTTTCTGAATTAAATTTTTTAAAAATTAAATTTTTTATTTTTTTATATTTTTTATTTTTAGTAAATATTTTTAAAATTTTAAATATTATGAATCATGTCATTGGTATTAAGCTTTCTATGAATCATGTCTCTGAACAGGCCAGGCTGTAGTTTTAAGCTTATGAATCATGTCATTGGTATTAAGCTTTCTATGAATCATGTCTCTGAACAGGCCAGGCTGTAGTTTTAAGCTTATGAATCATGTCATTGGTATTAAGCTTTCTATGAATCATGTCTCTGAACAGGCCAGGCTGTAGTTTTAAGCTTATGAATCATGTCATTGGTATTAAGCTTTCTATGAATCATGTCTCTGAACAGGCCAGGCTGTAGTTTTAAGCTTATGAATCATGTCATTGGTATTAAGCTTTCTATGAATCATGTCTCTGAACAGGCCAGGCTGTAGTTTTAAGCTTATGAATCATGTCATTGGTATTAAGCTTTCTATGAATCATGTCTCTGAACAGGCCAGGCTGTAGTTTTAAGCTTATGAATCATGTCATTGGTATTAAGCTTTCTATGAATCATGTCTCTGAACAGGCCAGGCTGTAGTTTTAAGCTTATGAATCATGTCATTGGTATTAAGCTTTCTATGAATCATGTCTCTGAACAGGCCAGGCTGTAGTTTTAAGCTTATGAATCATGTCATTGGTATTAAGCTTTCTATGAATCATGTCTCTGAACAGGCCAGGCTGTAGTTTTAAGCTTATGAATCATGTCATTGGTATTAAGCTTTCTATGAATCATGTCTCTGAACAGGCCAGGCTGTAGTTTTAAGCTTATGAATCATGTCATTGGTATTAAGCTTTCTATGAATCATGTCTCTGAACAGGCCAGGCTGTAGTTTTAAGCTTATGAATCATGTCATTGGTATTAAGCTTTCTATGAATCATGTCTCTGAACAGGCCAGGCTGTAGTTTCGAGTGGGATCACGGGGCCAAGGGAGGGCTGCTTGAATGCTTAACCCTCCCTATTGCCATCCCTATGACATGAGTTCCACCTGCCTTAGGTATTGTTTGGACAACGGACACTGTTATGGAGAGACACATCATGCCTTTTGTCCAATAACTTCACATTGAAGCTATAAAATATTTTATATTTTCACTCTTAATGTTTGTCACATGAATGCACAAACTCAAAACAAATTTATGTATTTTTTTTTTAAAAATTAATACAGTACAGTTTTAAACATGTGGCCATGTCCTTGTTCCTGTCTGTAGAAGGTAGAGAATTGTTGTGCCTGGCATCCCATGTCTATTTCCACAATACTTCATTCCTCGTCACATGCAACACCTTTGCATCTTCTCTGATCATAAATTATTACCAAATCTCAACTTAAAGTGCTATATTTTGTCATTTGCTTAAAATCTGTTTGGCCATTCCGCTCTGTTTATAGCACAGATTGAGTGTCATGCCAATTTTCAATTCTCATTTCAAAACTAGTTTCCATCACTTTGCCTAGCCAATTGTCTGTCTGCCATTTCACTACGCTTGGATCCATATCTGTGATGGCAATCTCAAGCTCAATTTTGGTCCTCATACGATTGTTTCGCTGCTGCTTCTGTTTATTTTTATTTTTCGATAAGTTGGAACACTGTTAAAATGTTCCATTGTTTACAAAACCTTCTGTCACTGACATATTTAGTGTGTCTGTATTTCTTCTTTAATATTTTGTGCGTGCATTGGACTCAACTTTCTTTAAAAAGGTCTTCTCCCACTTGAGATCACATTTAGATTTGCTTCAATACTGGCTAACGAAAGATTAGTTTTTTACTTTTTTTTTGTTCTATAAAAGAAGTAAATTCCAGTTATCCAATTTTTATTTATTGATTTGTTTGATAAAGGGAACACTTTGATTGCATTTACTTCTCTTTTTTTTTTTTTGTGTGTGTGTCTTTGGTGCGCTCTGTTGAAACTAATGTTTGAATACTAAACTGTGTATTCAAATGCTAATTTATTGCCTTTTGGATTCTAGAAAATTAGATCATTAGTATTGTATTGTTAATTGCTGCATCATTTGAGTTTTCGATTCTATTATTTCGCAGGTTCGTTTGCATCTTCTTACAGCCGTAATGAAGTGTTTCTTGAGAAGGCCACCTGAGACTCAGAAAGCCTTGGGAGTTGCTTTGGCTGCTGGTCTTGCTGATTTTCATCAGGTTTGGGTTGATAATTGTGTTATTTACATAAGCTTAGAAATTTTGATTGAAGTTTGTCTGTGTTTTTGACTCTTGGTTGGCTGCAGGATGTTCATGATAGAGCCTTATTCTACTACAGACTTTTGCAATATAATGTTTCTGTAGCAGAAAATGTGGTGAATCCTCCGAAGCAAGCCGTTTCTGTCTTTGCAGATACTCAGAGTAGTGAAATCAAAGATCGGATATTTGATGAATTCAACAGTCTATCTGTTATATACCAGAAGGTAACTTGAAATCTTGAATCTCAACAAACCTTTGCAAGATCTGTAGACAAATATTATTTTTGTACCAGCTTTATGGTCTTTATAATGGTAGATATTGTGAAGAGGAGACTGAGATATTGGAAGAGGCTTTTGAACATAAGTTTTCATTTTAAATTTTCATGCATTGGGAATCACTTTGTAATTCATTTTGAAATAAGTGACAAATTTAACACTTGAAATTTACTCATACAATATGTATCTTTAGTTTATGAAAGAAAAAATTCATAGTCAAACCTGAAGGTCGTAATTAGACAGGAAGGATTCTATATCCCCTGGTCCATGGAAAGTTTATAGTGTTTGAGATATAATATACTGCTTTCAAACAATTTTCACCACAATGTTTATGCCTCACATATTTCACCTTCTATCTGGTAATTTTTTGAGGTGTTTGTACCGTAGGCAGAGTTTAAAGTGTGCGCCTTTGCTTGTATACCTTATTAAGCTGCTCACCTTGATAGAATTTGAGAAAAAAGACAAATAAGAAGAGAAAAAATATTGCTTGTTAACATGCAAGAGGACACTTTCTTTGTTATGAACTTTGGGATCCGACATTTTAATTTTTGTTGTGTAAGACCTGTGATGAAGGGATATTAGTCCAGCAGGTTAATTACCCTTTTTTCCTGGTATAATTCTGCTGGAAATTGACACTATAAATAGCTGAAACAATTTCTTATTGAGATTTATGTGCTTTGAACATGCGATAACCTGACACTTACCTTTGCGCATTGCCATGAGGGGTGTGTTTCCACGGGATGCTATCTGTATGTGATTTAGAAACTGAAAGCATGCAGGTACTTGATAAATGCCAATGTATTAGCATTGCCAAAATTAATCATGTTGCTTTTTTTGTAACATTGGTGAACATTAGAGCATTATTCTGATATATAGACGTTAATTGTAAGTCTGAAAATTTTGCAGCCTTCCTACATGTTTACTGATAAGGAGCACCGAGGCCCATTTGCTTTTTCAGAAGAACTAGGAAATCTATCCATTGGAGTTGAATCTGTCAGTAATGTAGTGTCTGCCCAGATGGTCGAGGCAAATGACAACGATCTCCTTCTAAGTACTTCAGAGAAGGAAGAAAGTAGAGTTCCCAGTAGCAATGGTTCTGCATATAGTGCTCCTTCATATGATGCCTCTACAAATCAACCATTACCAGCACATTCTGAGCAAGCCAGCTTGGCCATTGATGATCTCCTCGGTCTAGGATTGGCAATTGCACCTAATCCTGCTCCTTCACCACCACCTTTGAAGCTTAATGCAAGATCTGTTCTAGATCCAAGCACTTTTCAGCAGAAATGGCGCCAACTACCAATATCAGTATCACAGGTTTGCTTTGAACTTTGTATCACTAATTTGATTATTATCCATTTACATTGATTATTTACGTTACGTGGACTTGGGTACGAGTATCAAATACAATTATCGGATGCGGATGTGTATCCAAGTGTCAGACCTACATAAACTAAAATCTTAGGACCTTGGGTAACATATCCAAAATTGGATATGGGTATGGGAATGCATTATATACACATATATATTGCATATTGTATAATATTCTTAGATTAGATGTTGTAAATTATATAGAAATATACTAGAAATAAAATAGGATTCGAGAAAAACATAAAATTTCTCGCTCTAATTCATGTGAGAGGCTAAAAATATTGTTTCACTAGCAAATGCGAGTTTTTTCTTCTTCATATATTGTAACAAAATATAGATCTGAGTGTCTAAATTGGGTGCGGATGTAGACACATATTCCACACTCTTACCCTTGTCAGATCCTGTGGACGCGGGTACTTTGGGGGAAATAAAAGAGTCCATGTAACACAGTTGATTATATTCTTGTTGATGCTCTCTCTCTCTCTCTCTATATATATATGTGTGTGTGTGTGTACTATGTATCTGTGCATGTAAATCGACAAACTTTTTTTGAGCTCCATTTCAATTATTATTTATTTGCAGGAATACAATATAAATCCACAAGGAGTGGCAGCATTGACAACCCCTCAAGCCCTCCTCCAGCACATGCAAGGACAGTCCATCCACTGCATTGCCTCAGGTGGTCAAGCCCCAAATTTCAAATTCTTCTTCTTTGCACAAAAAGCAGAGGACTCGTCTACCTTTCTTGTAGAGTGCGTAATCAACTCGTCATCATGTAAAGCTCAACTAAAGATCAAAGCTGATGATCAGACTACGTCTCCGGCCTTCTCAGCTTTGTTCCAATCAGCTTTGTCCACATTTGGTATGCCCTAGTCTTTCGTCCGTGTCTTCATCACTACACAGATAAGTTTTGATTTAATTCCCGTTATCTAATGAAAAAATGAGAGTTTTTTCTACAGCATTAGATTAGTGTACATTATGAGAGAAGATCAAGGATTGTCGTTCTTGGCCCGTGGTTGGTTGATATCCGACCCTAACTAAAGTTACAGCTTGTTTGATTGCAGAAAACCATAGTTATTTTTTTTCCAGTTAGGTTCTGCACCATGAAATTGTGTGAAAGTGATATAGTTAATATTTTTTCAGTTAGGCACCTTGAACTTGTGTGAAAGTGATATGTGATTAGAATTCCCAACTGGGTTGTAACCAACTCTGTTTTTCTTAGAGAACTTTAGGGTGGTGTTTGGATTTTGGATTTGTGGAGAGTAAAGAAAAAGAAAAGGGAAAAGTGAATCAAATATTTGTTTTCTTTCATAAATTCCTTTTCTTTTATTTATCCCTCTACAAATTCCTTCGCAAATCTAAGATGCTAAAACAACATAATGTGAAGGATATTTTTATTTTGTTGACAAATAGAAGTTATTATTTCAGTAAGGTTGGAAACTTTAGCAACATCATTTTCATACATTGGCATGTTGTCACGGGTGATTATTCAGTATTTCCGGAGTATGGACACGTAGTATTCCATAAGGTTTTGATTGGTAGAGAGGGATAGGGGCCCACGAGTTATGTTGGGGATGGAGGAACAATATGGGACTAAATAATTAGTAATTAGCTTGGAGTTTGATCGCGTGGTGTTTCAGGATTATTAAATAATTTCTCCATTGTCACAGAGACAGATTTGAGGTGTTTTCCTTACTTTTTCTATTTGTGTTTCTGTGATTCGTTTGCATGTTTTCATACTCTATAATTGTATGAACCCTAATTTTCAAACACACTTGGCTACAAGGCTCTCCTATAGCTTGGCTTGTTTAGCAACCTTTTCCTTTTTGATTTAGTTTAAAGGTTTTTTTTGTTTTTATTTTTTTATTTTTTTAAATATGGGAACAAGCCATGCAAACACCCCACTGGCACAAACTCTTCAATTTTGGGGTATTGCTGGCAAGCTTGAAGAACCTGGTGAGATTTGAGAACTTGTTTTTCAAAACTTTTACTCTAAATAAAAATTAATTTGACAAAAATAAACACAATTTAAAAAATATATATATATATATATTTTTTAAATTGTGTTTATTTTTGTCAAATTAATTTTTATTTAGAGTAAAAGTTTTGAAAAACAAGTTCTCAAATCTCACCAGGTTCTTCAAGCTTGCCAGCAATACCCCAAAATTGAAGAGTTTGTGCCAGTGGGGTGTTTGCATGGCTTGTTCCCAATCAAATAAGTCCACTGAAGTCCTGATCTTCTTGAGGTACTTGGAGTCCATTTAGTTGTGGTTTCCACTTCCAAATTTGCTTTATTCAATCAAACTCAAAAATTTTATTTTAGTTTTCTCTATTATTTTGTTTTGAGCCTTATTAGGAATACGAAGATAGCGGGGAGATATTCATGAAAAACAAGAAGCCATGTGGAGATTTATTTGATCTTTATTAATTGGCGCGAAGATTAATAGTCATGTGTTTTTGTTTTTTTAAGTAGAGATTAGTCATGTGTTAGAACACTATTACTCATGCGTCACTGTTTGTCTCCTACAAAATAATTGAGATATTTTAATTTAGATATAATATTTTATATAACGGGTATATGACGATAGTTAGTATATTCTTTCACTAACTTACACCAATCAAAGCAAAGTAGGAATGTGTTTTGTCATTATTATTATTAGGGTCCGTTTGGCAAGTAAGGTTGAGGCTAAAATAGTCACAAAAGACAAAATAGGTTATTTTAGTTATAAAAAATAAAACATCACATCCAACTCATAATTATTACACTCTTCTCTTATAAAAAAAGTCAAAAAAGTCAAAAAATTCTTTCCAAATTAAATTTTTTAATCTAGGTTAAAATAGTTAAAAAAATTAAAAAGTCAAAAAACTAAACCACTTCCTAAACGGAGGCTTAGTTTGTTTGTTTTGTTGGAAGGCCCAGCCTCCCCAAGAAATTGCCTGCCTAAGTATGTTGAAGATTGGGGTTGCTTCCATCATCTGATGTGCCCACCCAACAAGTGAGTCAAGACAAGACAATAATTTGTTGCTTTTTATGAATGTTGTTTTGAATTATGAATTTAGGTAAAAATTTATAAAGAAAAAACGTAAATATATGACAAATAAGAATGAAATGTAACAGTGTAAGGTTGTGTTTAGATATTGATTTGGATAGGAATTTATTAATAAAAACAAAAAATATAAGTTAAATTTTTTCTTCATTCCCACGTTACCTTTTAAATCTTTATCTAAATCTATAACATAAGCACAATCTTAAAAAAAAAAATACTAAAACAGTCTTTAGGATTTATTGTTAGTGTTGAAAAATTTATAAAAAGTATATTGAATTATGTAAAAAAAAAAATTAAAATATATAAAAAAATATGTTGAGAGATTATAAATATTTTGAAATTTTATATTTATTTATTTATAGTTTTAAAATTGTTGATAGCAGGACCCTTCCTAAAAAATCCCAATGCAAAAACTTTCTAATCTTTTTCTTTAGCCTCGGGACCACATGTAGATTGTCATATGTAATGTACTAGCATGCGGGAGGATGCAGTCAAGATTTCAATTTAGGATAAATTACAAATGCATCTTAGGAATTTAAAATATGAATCGCTTATGGGATTCTAGAAATTATATTTCACCTCTTGAGATTTTTAATTTCATAATAAATTGTCCCTTCTATTAATAAATCATCTAGTCAATTAACAATTTTTAATGATATTAGATATATGTTTCAATTAATAATTTAGGTAATTTTATTATTGTATAAGAGAGCAATTATGAATTTCATTTTTTTAGTTAATTTTATTAAATAAAAAATTCTAACAATGAGGTATTTGTAATTTTTCAAACCACATGGATGAATCTATACTTTAAGCAAACCTCAAGGAGTGTATTTGTAATTTATCCTTTAATTTATTAAAATGAATTTATATAATAAATGGTAAATTATACTAATAGTCTCTATAGTTTGAGACTCGTGTCAGTTTGATTTTTGATTTTTCAGTTATGACACATTTGATCATAAATTTTGAATCTTGTTTCAAATAAGGACAATTGAAGATATCATTGTTCAATTTCAATGGCAAAGTTGTCAATTTAATAAAATATAAATTAATTTGACAATAATAAATGTCAAAAAAATATTTTTAAATTTTTAAAAATTATTTTTACCCACTAAAGATAAAATAATGTAAAATTAATAAATTTTTTACACTTACTAATTTTTTTACCAAATTAATTTTTATTATATATTTAGATGATGATCATGTAATGGGTGGTTATTAGACTTTTAATGTATAATCGATATATTTAATATATGAAATTGATTAATTAATAATTATTAATTTACAAAGATATTTTTAATTGTTTTGCGTTAACAGTAAACATATTATACTTATTCAATTATCAAGGTTCGATGAATTTGATTTATCACATCAAGTCACCAAGTTAAGATTCAAACTACAATAAGATATATCTCGATATTTAACTAATTAGGAGTTCATCAAAACAAAGATTCAACTTATTATATTTAACTAAAGATCGTAACAAGTTCTTGAATCAAAGCAAACACTAATTAACCCAACACAATCTCTTATTGTTGGTAGTATTTTTAGTTCAAAAATAGCAAATATGACTTTCCATCTCAAAGGTGTCAAGAAAAGAACTATTACAGATGAAATGTATTATGTATTGTTTAGCTAATTATTATAATTTATAAAATATTTGGGATCTAAAATACAAAAAAGAAAAATATTTGGAATGTATTATCTTATAATTTTATGGAGATTATTAATTTAACACTTTGGTCCCGAGTTGGAGACCAGACAATTTTATTATTTAAAAGAGATTATTAATTTAAAATAATACAAGGTTAAAAGTCTTTTAAACATATCAAAAAATAAATATAAAGAAATTACAGTTAATTATAATAGATATATAAAAACAACCAAAGGAAGAGACAAAAATAAATAAATAAATAAACAAACAAAAAAACAAACAAAAACTTGATAGAAAGGTAATCATGCCAAAAGTAAGAGGCAAAAATAAAAAATCCTAAGGTGATGCACCTCATCTTCTGTGTGAAGTTAGAAAACAACCAAAGTTTTCATATTAAACAAAACAAAGGGATGGCTTGTGTCCAATCCGTATTGTTGGGTTCTGTGGATCATTATCAAATCTGTATGGATAATTCGAATCGTACAATGTGTAATATTCGTCGAGTATTTCATCCTTATAAAAAATTATATTGATCGAATATCAATAACCACTTGATCAGATCACATTTCTCTCAACGTTCAATACGATTTTTTAAAAAAAATGTTAACTAAAATGTGATCTAATCAAGTAATAATCGATATCCAATCAATTGATTTTTTGCAGAGATAAAATACTCGATGAGCTCTACATCTTAACAGTTCAGATTATCATTGTAGGTTCTATAATGAGCCCACAAAAATTTAACAATACAGTCTAATCCGAAATCAAACTGGAGACAAGCCTTACCCACAAAGAAAAACTTGGCTCAACAAATGAGATGGACAAAGGAGGGTAGTGAAAAAAACAAGCTGTTTTGGCTATAAATTTGTACCATTGTTTGATTCAATTTATTAAATTTATACCGGTGTTTGATTCAATTTAATTTATACCCTTATTTTATTTAAGGTAAATTATAAATTCACCTATTCAGTGTTGTTTAAAATACTAATTATAATTTTTGTTTATAAAAATTACATCTTACCCTTTCAAAATTTTAATTGCATACCAAACAAATCATTTTATTAATCTATCAATAAGTCAATTAAATTTTTTATTAATATCAAAAATAAATTTTAATTAACAGTTCTGATAATTTTATTATTGTATAAGAGAGTAATTATAAAAAAACATTCTATTAATTCTATTAAATGGCAAATTTTAATAAGGAAGTATTTGTAATTTGAACAAATTACACTAAAGGTTCCTATAAATTCCCTCAAGTTTCATTTTGGTCCTTAATGTTTCAATTTGAATGCATTTGCCCTTCAAGTTTTGTTTTTGTGTCAAATAAGGACAATCGTGAATGGGCAAGTTTCATTTTGGCCTTTGATGTTTTAATTTGAGCACATTTTTCCTTCAAGTTTTGTCTTTGTGTCAAATAAGAACAATCGTGGATGGGAGTTAAGTTCACGCATGACCATCTTGTAGGGGCAAAAACGAAAAATATACACTAACCTATTAAGTTTATTCATTTCGAGTCACATATTGAGTTGACTCACGCACATCGCTTATCAGATTCCGCAACCCGTCTCTGCACAAATCACCCTACCCACCTCCTTGAGCAAACTTTCTATCTTTGAGCCAAC